AATATTGGAAATATCACTTGTTTCGTCACTCATAATGGACACAAATTTCGAGGCGGCAATTTCTTTTTTGATATGTGCCTGACACACGAAAAGAATACATTCCAATAAATCGTTTTGAATGTCTTTTGATGTACCTTTAAACACAGTAGCTTGCTGCAAATGATCCCTCAGTGCTAAATCCAGTTCGGCAGAAAAATTTATAAGTCCTCTAAATATACCAAGGTTCACAGAATCTTCTTGTTCATCATGTCCACGGAGAGCAAGCTCAAAAGCACCACAAAATTTTATACAGTTTATAATTTTAGATAAAACATACCTATTTTTCTTTACTTGGTCATTATGTTTTTGAATGCTTGATCGATATGCACTATTTAATTGTTGTCGAATATCTTGTTTACCTAATAAATTATATCCTAATTTAGCAGATAAATGTGACTTTGAATTTTGATGTTTTTTAATTTTTTCGGATAAATGTATTAAATCTCTAACGCCAGATTTTGTCCATTCTGATGCCTCGTCGCTTCCAAATAATAAACAAGGAAAGCAGTAAAGACTGTTACTCACATCACACCCGCACAACCAGTCAGTTTTTTCATAAGTATCTGTTTTAAAAGTACGTTTATATTCACGACTTTTGCATTTAGTTACATTCGTAATTAATACACTTGGTTTCGGACGCCCAACACTTTTAATTTTTATTTTTTCTTCTAAAGGAAGGGAAGAAAAATTAATTGTCTTTAAATATTGCACGCTAATGTCCGTCATTTTAACAAAATTCCCGTTTCGACAGCGCGGCACCGATTATTACGCTCCCCACGCAAGCTACAAGTGCACAAATTTTATGTGCACGCGTGCCAGTAGAAACATCGAACGTCACACTAGACTGCCGCGGTGAGGGAGGGAGAAGATTGACCAATCGGATCGAATATTCCGATGTGCAGTGTACGAAGATATCGCGGCGGGCGTCGTGCAAAGCGAACGGCTGTATTTTTTTTTCTCGGCTGGATTTCTCACGTTACGCATAGCGTCTTGCGATTTGGAGTTTTGTTTACGAAATAATTGATCGTTTTTTAAATAAAAATAATTATTAAAATAATGACAGGACAGAATCACAGGATTTAACTAGTTTTTTTTTTCAAGAGGCATTAAATTTGGGGGTGCACGTGCACATGTGCACTTATTGAGGAACCGCCGCTGTTGATGATTTAATTATTTTTTTGCGATATTCCAGACAAGGCTTTGGAACATTTATAAAATAATATGTATTGGTTTTGTTGAATGATTTGTACCGCGTATCACTTTTACATACTCCATAACAACACCGTTTTGTTGTTCCTTTTCGTACAGACGACATTACTACAATGGCATGGATTTTTTTTTCAATTATGAGGTTTCTTACTTTATTTTTTTTTACTTTTTTACAATTAACCTATAAATTTATATTTTTTATTTAAATTTTTATACGCAGGCACTTTAGCATGGTTGTTTACAAAAACAGTACGAAAAAGATGGCTGATGCTAACGCATGCGCACCAAGACTTACTTAGTAGAATATGATTGACTTAATAAATTATACTAATTTATCAAGGGTGCTGTGTAACGCAAATCGAGTTGACAGAAGTGTCATATTTGTATTAATTAGTGCAAGAGAAAGCAGGTACTAATAAAATGTTTACCAAAAGAGAAAAAGCCCGGTGAGTTTTACTTTATAATGAAAGTAGATCAATTACACATACACAAAGATTTAGAAATATTTTTGAAAAAAATCGCCAACCACAAATTCTATTTGAAGCTGGGTAAGTCAGTTTACAGAAACTGAAACATTAGGAAGAAATATCTTTGTTGAAGTAAGTACCCTTAATATACAAACAAATATAAAGTTAAAAAAAATACAAACGTCTAAAATATAAAAATATACAGCAAATATACATATCGATACCATCAAATAAAATTTTTAAAAGAAATTGGCAAATTTAATCAACATTTTCACTTATTAATCATGAACATGTTTCATCATTTTTATTTTTAAAAACTATAGAACTACCTTTAACACAAAACGACAATTTGTTGTAACGTTCAAAGCATTTGAAAAAAAGGAATTCATTGATGTTCATTTATTTGTTCTATGTGCAAGTTACTATTATTTCTGGTAGAGTAGTTATAAATATTATTGTTAAAAATAATGTATTCTCGAAAATAAAGTGGTGCCAAACCATTTAATATTTTATATGCAAACACCATAGTCAAATAATATAATCTCTGGTAAACCGAAATCTTGCAGTGATCTAAGCATGGTAGATACAGGAGTATATTTGCTACAATATACCGGGTGTTACAGTTAAATACCGCCTTTTATAAAAAACGTTTCCGATTAAAGATTTATATTTTTTTTGTGTAAACATTTTGGCTAAAATCTTTTTTATAGTTAACCATAATATGGTCAACTTTTTTTTGCGCAGCAAAATTTTTAAGTAGGTGTTACTAAATAAGTAAAAGTCCAATAAAAAAAATGTTTTCTTTAAAAGTTTCTTATTTTTTATGAACTTTAAGAATATGTAAAAAATGGGGTTCCAATTTAAAATAAAAAAGTCCACCTCGAGATACGGCCATATTATGGCCAGCTAGGGTCAGTGCACTGGTTTTCGGCCTTTTAGCGTAAAAATCGACTTTATCTTCAAATAGATATAGAGGAAGTCTTTATAAAAAAATGTCCGTTGGAGTGTTTTCTAGGGGTCTAGAAATGAATTTTTGTTGTGTTTTTAACTTTATAGTAATGAAACATTAAAAACTAAAAAAAGTGCGTATTTGTTGGTTCTCAGCCACCCCTCACAGTTCTCGGCCAATTTTATATTAGTTCTCGGCCACACAAAAACCAGTTGTTAAAGCCATTATGATTAAAAAAAAATCATGTCAACCATACTTTCTCCGACTTTCCCAAAATCCAACGCACCTGTCACATTATCAATGACAGACCTAACATAGTGGAGGAGCAAATTTTCCTTCAGCATTAAACAAGAATTATAAAAATGTTTTTTTATGATTTCGAAAAACTTTTAGACCAAACACTTTGCCACTAGATTGACGGAGTGGGAAACCTGATTACTCTTAATTGGACACTCTTCTAGGATATTAGGATTACAAAACACAAAACATTCTCATTTAAATATTGTTCTAGGTTCTGAAACCATTTTCTCACAGATTGTTATGTAACTGCTGTTTAAGCTTTATTTATTCCATCGGCTATGAAATTCATCTACCATGTTTTGGTATTCCGCCTTTAAATAAATTGTGATTAGAATCTGCATTTATCTTAGAAACTGTATCCAAAAGCACCTGTCTCCCCTTTAACCGCTAAATAGTGGTGTTGGGCCTGTTTTTCTCAACACATCCGGTATTCTTACTGCAAGCAGCCTGTCCTGCAAAGGCATTTTTCTAATCTTCCTCATTTTATGATAATTCACTCTTCAATACGCCAAAGAAACCTCACTCATGTTAAAGGCCGAGAACTAAAACCGCTGTAAATATTAGTTTTCGGCCCCCATATTTTTCGTAGTGGCCGAGAAACGCTAGTTCTCGGCCACTTGGTTTTTAAAGGGCCGAGAACCAAAATCACTGTACATATTAGTTTTCGGCCCCACATTTTTTGGGTTGGCCGACAAGCGCTAGTTCTCGGCCACTACATTTATCAAAATATTTATTAATCAAATAAACTACATTTCATACTTAATTTACCGGCCGCAAACCAATACTTAAAAAGTAATCATGTAAATAAACAGAAAAATAAAAACAAAAGCACATTTAAACTCGTTTTTAATAATTTTATTTAAGATCAAAACTTTACTTTTTAAATTAATTCTCGGCCCCTTTGGCCGAGATCTAAAAAAACATATTTTTTTAATACTGGTTCGCGGCCACTAGAAATTTTAATTATAAAACCAGTTTTTGCTCAATTGTAACACAAATTTACATAGTTTAACCCCTCCTCTACTATTTGAAACATATTGCATGCACCTGGAATAGAAAAATAATCAAATATTTACTATTTCGTTGATTCACACTATTAGGCACTTTTACATTTAAAACGCATGTGTTTTCTGCTGATTGTCAGGACAAGCAAGAAGCCTTTTTCCCGCGCTTATCCCTTACAATACCAAACCAACCCCTACCACTTTGGATAGATAAAAGATGCCGGGAACTTGTTTAGTACTGACAATAAGCCCATGACACTTTATTTTCTTATTATTTGGCCTTAAACGATAAAAAGGCCGAGATCCAGTGCTGGCCGGATAACCAGTGAATTGACCCTATAAAAAATGAATTTCTCCAAAATGAAAAAACTATAAAACTTTTGTCTGAATTTTTTTTTATAAAATGCATATTTTCGGCGGTATTTAACTGTAACACTTTAATTTGAACACCCGGTATAATCCTCATACCACGATTTTGCAGTTTTTATAACTGTGTCGTTTCGTCTAGGTTGAAAAGGAAGATAACCGATGAACAACAATCAAAATGTGGTTGAATAATTGAACGATAAAATGTAATTTTAGTTTCAACTGATAGGTTTTTGATATTCTTGCAAAAAAGTAAAGTTTCTTCATTAAGGAAAGTGGAAAAAAAGACAAATTTAAAACGCTTAAGATATTATTTTAAATGACATACTGATAAGGCAAATTTTAGCAAGATACAATAAAATATCTATTAGAAAATTTGCCCAATCCTTACATACGTCAAAACGTAGGTGCATAAGATTTTAAAAGTAATCAAGATTAAAACATAAGATTCAGACTTTTCATAAAATTGAAAATCATGCAGTTGAAAACAGATTTATCATGTGTGAGACGTTTTTAGATTTATTTAGACATCAACCAAATGTAAATCTAATAATATCAGATGAAGCAACGTTTCATTTAAGTGGACGCATGAACAAACAATTGTAGGATTTGGGGTGACGAATATCCTAGAGCTTTCAACAAGTTTAAAAGAGATGCCCTGGGGTAAATGTATGGTGTGTCCAAAACCAAAATTTATGGACCATTTTTCTTCCAATTATAAGGATATGCTAGAAGTATTTTTCTATCCTCAACTAAAAGAAGAAATACTAAATACTGTATATTTTCAGCAAGAAGGTGCTCCACCCCATTACTTATCTAGCAACGAATTCTTTGAACTTAACCTATGGAGACAATGTATAGGTCGAGCCGTCCCATCGAATGGGCTCCCTATTATCCGGATTCGACTAGCATTTTTTTTTATATGGGGGTATATTAAGGAAATATGCTACGATCCAACACCTACAAACACCGAACTGAGTAATAACATAATTCATGTGTTTTAGGACCGATTCCACAGTTGTGTTAAACAAAGTTTAAAATGATATTTTTACATTAACAACTTCATTTTAATCTCCGTTTAACACAACGGTGGAATCGGCCCTAATACATTTACCCCAGAAATGCTGCAAAATGCATTTATAATTTTTTTAGTAGGTACTAGTCAATACGGTTTCAGGCAAAATAAATCAACAACTGGTGCAGTTTTACATGTGGTGGAAGACATAGTCGAGGGGCATTGAAAAAGATAAATACGTTGATATTACTCTATGTGACCTAACCAAGGCTTTCAACTGTGTCTCCCATAGCATCTTATTTGAAAAGTTGTATTATTATGAAGTTAGAGGTAATGTACTGGATTTATTAAAGTACTTTTTAAAAGATCAAAGACGGTCACTTTTTACAAAGGCAACCTCGCAAATACAGAGTCAATATAGGAGTCGCACAGGGATCGGTTTTGGGACCGCTTTTATTTGTATATACATATTTGTTTTTTCTATTCATTTATCTTATTCTTATATATGATCGTGTCCTGCTAATGCATGGCAATACTTCAAAAGGACCGTTGTATTGGTACAGGATACTACTGTTTTATCTGCTAAAATTTTTAAATACTGATTTATTTTCTTTGCTTAATGGGGCCCGTGCACCTGATGGAATTCAGTTTCCTTTTCTTGCGTCTATGTTTAAGAGGAATCTCACAACTACTTTCCTCAAAGTGGATAGGGCAACTTCAATTAAGTTTGTCCTTTCTTCGATAAGAATTTACCCATATTTTATGGTATTTGGAAACATCTCCATCGCGCAGCCCGGCATTTTAAACATTAATTTAGTTCTTCCCTGTTATATATAGGAAAATATAGTCACTACTAATACAAAAACTAATAAATTATTAATTATTTTACACTATTCAATCGAAGTGTCAAAATAACTTGAAAGTTCGTCCCTCATTACGTCATGCGCGGTTTGGACGAATTTTGAATCGAAAGTCAGCATACCTTTAGTATGTGTATCGTGGTAGAAAATACTTAAATGGTGCTACGCCACGAAGGGTGTCGACAAGGATATTATGAAGAAAATATTTAGGGACGGCAAGCGTCGGGAAATAAGGTGTGGGACGTTAACAGTGTTCGGAGAATAGGAGATACTGTAGGATAGACGTTGTTTAGGAAAGGTACTGGCTACCCAATATCCACTGAATGTCCAGTCCATGGTAGATATCTATTTTATATCCATGAAATGTAATTTATAGACATGCAAATGTCCATAAATAATAGTAATTATATATTAAATTATTAAAAAATTACGCCATTGTGGCTAATAGTACCTAACAGATATTTAAAATTAATTTTTTAAGGTGTATTGAATATCCCATGAACATCCACTAAATATAACAAAGTCTAGGCGCGAACGCAAACCATCGTGGATATCCACTAGATGTTGTTTGATTCTGCTTACTAAGTATAGATGGCGATACCACTATTGCATCTACTCATGCTCGACCCGCCGTAATTGAGTTCGATCGAAATTTTTGTCCTAATCACTCCATTAGAGACTGGAGTCGAGAATTTTCATTTATTGCTGAAGAGTCCTAATAAGTGGGCAAAATCAAAGGCAGAGTGTTGAAAATATTTTTTATCTCTGCTATTTTCTTTCGACATTATTCAATATTGGTTACTTATGAACCTCTACTAAAGATACCCATAAAATATTTTGCTGAATATCCGAATATCTTCTATATCCTGGGATATAGACGGACATTTGGTTGGATATCCATATAGGATATATTGAATATCCACAAAATATATTCTGTGGACATCTCTGGGATTTCTTGTATTTTCTGGAAGATGCCCATTAGATATTTTGCTGAATATCCATTAGGATATCTTCTATATTCTGGATATAGACGGACATTTGGATATCCATATTAGATCCACGGAATATTTCTGATATCCTGTGGATATATTGGATATCCACAAAAGACATTCTGTGGATATCTCTGGGATTTGATGTGCTGTCTGGGTACTGAACTAAAAATATAACTGGATACGAATAATTAAAATGAATGTTTATCAAATAATGAAAAATGAATGCTTGCACATCAAATAATAAAAATGAATGAACCCAAGCTCATTTGGGTTTCTGTTCTTATACCCGTTTTAATGGCTTTTTGTGACGTCAGTTTCTCTTAGTTACGTGTGAACGAATTTGGGTGGATAGAAAAGGGGTGGTCGATTTATTACTTGTCTTGAAAAATTTGTGTATCGAAACAACGTAACTATTTAACCGCACTAAGTGCGTTAAGTGTTTCTGGGGCTAGGTTCCCAGACACGTGCACAAAAAAGAATCTCTTACAGATAGGGTTAGATATTATTTATTAGGTGTCGTAAATAAGATTTAATTATCTGGGAGATTTTTCATTAAATGAAGGATTTTGAATTTAATAAGAATGCAATATTTTATTTAATAAATTGAATTTATAAATTATTAAGGTGCCTGGGTGAGGTAGGTTACAGTTTTGTTGGAGGTATCTTGTCAAATTTTTGTCCAGCATGTTTTGAGGTATAAATAGTCTACCTCTTGAATCTGTACTATGTTCTGCAAATTAAATTACTGCACTCCTTTCTTCTCTAGACTATATAAAGAAAAAATCTTAAATGAGACCACTTTTTAAAAACGCCCATGTTTAAAAAAATACGTTACTCATGAAATACCTTGAATAAAGCTAAGAATGTTAGGAAATTTTGTTATTTTATTAAAAAAGTCACTGATAAACAAACATTTATTGCAATGTTATAAAATATAAATTGTCACACTTAACCTATTTTTATTTTTAGGTATAAAAAATAGAGCAAAATTGGGACTACGTGAACTAATCTAGTCATCACAGACTTTGTCATAATCTTAAAACTAGTTTTGGCACATAAAAAAATACAATACTAATTCGTCAATAACAAAAATATTCAAAAACAAAGTAAGAATAACAAAAGTTGAATCTTTGGAACTCACCATGTAAAAGGTTCATATTCCTGAGATTTTGCAGCTTATTCTAAAAATATTGTAGAATAAATAATATGTAATATCACAAAAACAAAAATGGTAGAAAATAAAAAATATTTGTTACATAAACTAACAACATAATATAAGGACGAGGTATGTATACCTCAAATACTTTCATAAAAAGATTAATGAGAGGAACTGGTTTCATCAGATGAGAATCTGGTTCGTTTTGACGGAGGCTCCATCATATCATATGTGAAGACAATATCTTCAGTTGTGTCCACATGTTCTTCATATAAAGCATTAACTCTTAACTGCATTCCAATGTCCTAAAAAAAACGTATTAAAATTGTTTTTTTCGTATTTTCTTGTAATGATTACGAAAGTTCAGGTTATGGCTACTTTTTAGTACAAACAGCAATCGATTTTTCCTAATTGGGAGAAATACTAGTTTAAACAGCACTATTAATAATAAAAAGTAATACCTTAATTCAATCTCTAAAAATGTTTGCAAGTTACATATCAGCTAACTATAATAGAGTTGGGCACTATTTCAAGAATTATTATTTAATTACTGCCATTTAAAAATATATACATGTTTTTTAGATTTCATAAATCAGAAAAATATTACCTTTATTAATCAATATGCCCTCATTTATTTGAATGTCACTACTAATCACAGTAACGATTTGCAGTCTGATTGAAAGAAAAATCACGATAACGTCCAACTCTACTTTTCTCTCAGTTGACATTTCTGTCTTAAAGTTTTACAGGTCCGTACATTTTTAAATTAGGGTCTATATAACTTACTCGTGACAACCAAGAATGTTTTAATATTTCACTAATAGTAATTCGATTTTCAGGCTTAACAGTCAGCATTCTTTTAACAAGATCTTTGGCATATAGTGAAATGTCTTTCCACTGAATTTCTTCCATGGAATACTCTCCTGTTATAATGAGTTTTTCTAGTATATTTTTGTCTTTCGATCTAAAAGGACATATAAACAAGGTTAAGAAATTTTTATCAATTAATAAAATCTTTACTTGAAAGGTAGTCTTTTCCCCAGCATATAAAATAGTATAACACCAAGGCTCCACACATCAACCTGCCTGTTATACTCAGAAATGCCACGATTTAGGATTTCAGGAGCTATGTAGCTCATTGTACCACAAATTGTTCTCATCATGTCATCTTCATCAGTAACTTTGCTCAATCCAAAATCAGAAACTTTCACTAGAGTCTCGGGTTCTTCGGAATACAGGAGAACATTTTCTGGCTAAAAATTAAATAATGTATATCGTTTTTTATTTAAAACAATCAATATGGATCAATCAGCAACCCCTGGTTTAGAATAAATTTAACACTTTACCCACCGAATTTTAGGACATAACAATATAATAATTTTAAATATTCTTATTTTTAAATTTTAACGTTGACAAAAATTAAGATAACCTGTATAAAAATATTTAAAAAAAAAAAAACGGTAGATAGATATATTTTTTGTCTTGAACAAAGATACTTTTAAAAGATATTTAAAACTATAATTTGATTCCTTCTCAATTTTTTTTTCTTCTAATAATGTATTAATGTATTAATATGTGTATTAATATACTGCGACCTAAAAGATCGATTGTGTCGAGCTGCAAGCTCAAGAAAATATAGGATTTGAAGTGGCACCAAGTTAGGCAGATAATATTATAATAATAATAATAATAATAATAATTCCCATGTGGGTGCCGGGAAATAAAAAGAATAGGCCCAAGGAATCTCCTGCCTGTCGTAAAAGGCGACTAACTGGAGCGGCTGCCCGCTGTCCTTTAACCTTTCTCCTTGCCATTCATTTCACCAAACCTAGTTAAAATGTCGAACAAAACACAAAAAGAGGAACTACCCCAGGCAAGTAGAGAACACATCTCAAAATCTTGCACCGGTTCAACGGTCTGTCCCATGGATTCTGGGGGGACAATTTGACACTAACTAGTAATATTAAAGACCAGAATACTCCGCTAATCAATTCACTAGAGTACCCGAATGAGAATACTCAACCGGGCCCTAGTGGAATTCAAAGAAAATTAAACAAAAATGAAACTCAAAAAACAGACAATAGGAGTAAACAAAGTCAAACTAGAAGCAAATGGAGTCACGAAGAATGCAAAGAAGTTATGCTATGCTACTACTACATATTGGAAACAACTGGAACTGGAAATACGCAGAAAAACTATGAAATGTGGAGAAACCGCAACCCAAGCTCTCGTCCTAACTTAAATGCAATAACATTAGCTAACCAAAGACGACAAATAATACAACAGAAAAGACTATCCCAGACTGAAATAGATAAAATTAAAAAAAAAAAATAAAAGACAAAAATGTGAAACAAAAACCTAACAATGACAAGGATAATAAAACGGAAGAAAAACATCATAGATCTCAAATGGAAGAGATAAACATCCAGGAAATTAATATCGCACAAGAAACAGCTTTAGATATAGAATTTGTCAACCACCATGAAAGAAGCAAAGACATTTACGAATATTGTGTACCTAAAGGAAAACAAGAAATACAAACAGGTAAAAAAAAAGACAGTGAACACTCAAATGATCTAAAAGTAACTACTTTAATATTAAAAATGAAAGAAGAGATACCAAAACAATGGAATGTCAAACGACAAAAGCTACCAAAACTAAAGAGCAATTACGAAACAAAACAAACATTACACTTGCTAAATCAAGCTTTACAAATTATATTAGAAGAAAATAATGAAACAGTAACAATAACAGAAATTAACACTCTGATATATGCTACAGCAGTAATAGCTAGTAGAGAGCTTAAAGTCGAAACAAAAGAGAAAACATTTAAAACTAAAGAGCCTAGATGGAAACTGCGAATAGAAAGACAGATCGAGACTATAAGAAAACTCAGTTCTCTGAAATAAGACAAGGCTTAAAAACAGATAGACTTAGGTACATATATCATACACTTTATAGAAAACATAAAATACAAAATAACGAGGATGAAACTAAAACGATTGAAATGCTTAAACAAAAAGTGCAAGCGAAAGCACAAAGAATAAGAAGACATAAAAACCGAAACCTATTCCATTGGCAAAACAAACATTTTTTGGAAGATCCATCAAAATTTTACCGAACTACACAAGATAAAAGCATAATAGTATCCAACCCACCTAACAGAAAAAGTAAGAAAATTTTGGAGCAACATATGGGAACAAGAAAAACAACACAAAAGAGATGCGAAATGGATAAAAAGGCAGACCACCAGAAATAGGAAGGTAAAAACAATGAATTGGATAGATATAACGGAGAATGAGGTTCGACAAATATTACAAAAGTCATCTAATTGGAAAAGCCCGGGACCAGATGGAATTCAAAACTATTGGCTCAAAAATTTTACAGCTGTCCATAAAGTACTTGCTAGGGTATACAATGACTTAATCAAGAGCAACCAACCTAGCCCTGAATGGTTAACGAAAGGCACCACGTTTTTAATACCCAAGAGAACCAATACAACTCAAGAAAAGAACTATAGACCAATTACGTGCCTGACAACGATTTACAAAAACATAACAGCGATATTTAGTGAAAGAATTTACAAACATTTAGATGAAAACAAAATGTTTCCTAGTGAACAAAAGGGGTGCATGAAAAACAGTTGTAAGGATCAACTACTGATTAATAAGATGATAATAGATAGCTCCAAGAGGCAACACAAAAACCTTAGTATGGGCTGGATAGATTACATGAAAGCCTTTGATAGTGTCCCTCATTTTTGGTTAATAGAAATAATGAACATATGTAAAATCGACAAGGCCCTTATACAATTTATAAAAAGAACAATGGATAACTGGAAAACTAACTTAATTTTAAACACAGAAAGCGAGAGAATTGACATTGGATCAACTAATATTAAGTCAGGAATCTTTCAAGGAGACTCGTTATCGCCATTACTCTTTTGCATGGCCTTATTTCCACTGACAAGTGAACTAAATGAAACAAATAAAGGATACAAAATAAAGAATGACAAAAAACAAATAAATCATTTATTATATGTAGATGACTTAAAACTCTTTGCTAAAAATAACGAAGAGCTACAACACCTTATAAAAATAGTAAAATATTTTAGCGACGATATAGGAATGAAATTTGGAACAGACAAATGTGCAAAAATAACCATAGAAAGAGGAAAGGTAAAAACAACAAAAAGTGTAATATTAGATAAAGACACGAAAATAAAAGAGCTAGAGGGAAATACGTCCTACAAATATCTAGGAGTAAAAGAAAACTATGATATTGAACACGAAAATATGAAAAAGAAAGTATCCCGAGAATACTATAGAAGAGTCCGGTGGATTTTAAATAGCCAATTGACAGGTAAAAACAAATTCACAGCAATAGGAACACTTGTAGTCCCGGTACTAGGCTATAGCTTTGGTATTCTTAACTGGAAAGAAACAGATATCCAGAAGATAGATACCAAAACTAGAAAATTACTTACGATCCATAACTTACTACATCCAAGAGCAGATGTAGATTGACTATACCTTCCCAGGCAATCAGGAGGCCGAGGCTTAACAAATATTGAAGAAACATATAAATTAACAATTATCGGACTAGCAAAATAAATAGAAATAAAGAGTGAGGTCGGACTCATATCAATACTAAAAGAATATGAAGAAGGAATAGTAACGGGAAAATCAATACTTAAACGTGGAAGAAAGCTAATCCGAGAAAACACCGAAGAGGCTATTAATATAAACAATGAAAAGACTGACGGAAAATGTTAAAATACTGAAAAAACAGATTAAACAACAAATCATACAAAAGAGAGAAGAGTGGTACACAAAAAAAGCAATGAACGGGCAATATGCAAGAGAAATGAAGAATGAAAATGTTAACAAAGAACTAACATTCAGCTGGTTAAAGCACGGATCCATCAAAGGAGAAACCGAATCACTAATAACCGCAACCCAAGATCAAGCAATCAGGGGCGGTTTCTCCATTGGTTCATTTGTGCAGTGAACACCCAGTTAAATTTCATAAAAACACATTATTTTAATATTACATAAATAACATAAAAATATAAATTTAATTTTAATATTTTTATTTTCATACGTGTTAATCTATATTTTTTGGTACATCCTTGTCCTCTAGCTGATCGCGTCTCTGTGGCACAGTATACCTAAGTATACTGTGTCTGTGGCGCATTATGATGAGTGAGCCTAACACGAGCGAGACGATATGCCGAATGCATAAAGCTAAAAAGAGAAGACAGCACGACAACAGATCCTTCAAACTGTCAAAGAACACATTAATTGGCGCACCGCTCACAAACAAGGTTGCCAAACCAGTGTTGCCAGTATAGTACAATTCACAATTGTACTAGATGTAGTACTTTCTGAGTGCATCAGTGTTCACGTGTAAAATATATACATATTGTGTTCCTTGTTTGGGTTCGTTATCAATAAAGACCCCTTTTTTTTCCTTTCAATGAATTAGATGTCACTGCAAATAGAATTCGAAAAATATGATACATTTAAGGAATCTGGTACATTTTTTAGACAAATCTGGTACATAACAAAAACATTCTGGCAACACTGTACCAAATCAAACAAACTGTGACTGTCATTAGTGTCATTCCTCTACTATTAAATACATTAAATAAAAACATAAGATTATTTTAATTGTGCTTATTTAAAACAATGTGTTTAATTAAAAATTGTGTCTTCGATAAATTGAAAGATGTGTGCCAATTCAACGATTGTTCCCGAAAGGCAAGGTAAATTAAAATTTTTAAGGTTATGTTGATTTATTTACATATAATAAAATTTTACGTCTGTAATTTGTTTTAGTGTCTAAGACCATCCAAAGACTACTTCAAAATGGTCTATTTTGTATTCAATTGTAAATACTATGAATAAAGAAGTCAGCAAAAAAAATTGTAAATTTTTTTTCTCACAAAACCCGCTAAAAGGAAAAATGAGGTAACTAGACATCATTATGGAAATGTACAATAAAAATTTGATAAAGATAAAGAGACAAATGGTTTTTCACTTTAAAAGTCTGAATCGGAAATCGATGAGAAATTTTACCTAAGAAATGGTATCTACATTTAAATAGTTTACCTATATAAAGTTATGTTTGCCTGTAATTATCAATTGTGTTACCCTCTAACCAAGATCGTTGTTCCATACAAACCAGAATTTTTTTTATTGCCTTGTTTGTATAACTTAGTATTTTCAAAAATATTAGATGTTATGGTGAT